GAGCTGCTACTCCTGCTAAACCCAATGGGAACATCCTTGAAATGAAGATCCACCCAGGCCTGGCAAGCATGGATTGACGACACGTGTTGGCGGCAGAGGTCCCTGACCTTGATGGGCAGAGCCTTGGTGACAGCAGCCACCCTCCACGGAGGCTTCAAGAACTCTGAGCTGCTCTTGGCGTGCTTGCGATTGTTCATCTCCATCCCGCTCCGTGTCCGCTTGCTCTCTGGCCACCTAGTTTCTCCTCTCAATCAAAAGCTTCCTTCTCCTCGATACTGCAATTCTTTGTAAACCAGTTTTTATGTTGGTTGCAATGATGTGCAAAACATCAGCTCTGAATGAATGGTGTAGGCAGGGTGTAAATGTGTCCTTGGGAATGCAGTCTTTCAGTTCTGTATACCTTTTAAAGTATATCTGCCTTTCCTATTAAAAATCATGCTGCATCAACACTTCCTTTCTGGTTTTATTTTTTCCCTTGCATTTCTTAAATGTCTTGAAATCCGTAGCATCACACAGGTGGCGTGGCAAAGTTGTTAACTCTGTGTAATCAAGGACTTGCTTGTGGTGACTTGCCCTCAGCTGAGAAACGTGGACTTTTCCAGCTGCAAGAAACTTCAGCTGTGTCGCTGGTTATACGTGTTTCTACAACTCCGGGCTTTCACCTGGTGTGTTCCACATAAATGGTTTATTTTAAATACTTCAGTGCTGCTGAAGTGAGGTGGACATGAGCAATCATTGGCTCTGATCTGGTATTGAAGAGCTCGTAGGTAACTGCAAAGGTGTGGGCTCAGCAGGGTTGGAATTCTGAAGTAGGTTTGTGGTTTCTAATCATCGTTAAACAGCCCAGCTTGGAAGGGACCAGAGCTGAGAGATTAAGAGTTCCCTGATGGAGAAGTGGGAGAAATCTGCCAAATTATTTGCGAGTAATTTGGTAGGAGAGATGGGGATCCACTGGCCAGCACCTCTGAGTCACGGCAGCAGGGCGTTCTTGTTTGTCAGTTCAGGGACGTGTATTGAGAGCCCACACTTTGAGTGGAAACAGTTACAGCAGATTTTTGCTGATTTTATTTTCCTCCCACTGAACATTATGCACCCAGGCTGTAAAATTTCTTGGTTCTACAACTGAGAGGCTACGGCTGTGTGAGGAGGAAGATGATGGTACTTTCTTACAGCTTCCCTGGCCAGGAGCAACTGGCAGACAAGAGCTACCAAAATGTCCTGGGAACATTGAGTACTGCTTCACTTTTTTTATAATTAAAGGACTATTTTCCTCTCTTTTTATTCCACTTTTCCTTCCATCTTCTAGCTTTTAGTCTCTGGATTTAGTGAATTATCATAACTGCACCTGTAGAAATCGGTTTTGTTCTCCCCAGCATCTGTGTGGAAGATCAAGGCTGTGTTTTGAGTTTTCAAGACCAGCAGCACCAAGGCAGGGAAGCCACCACTTCCTCCTTGACACTTTACTCGTTGCTTTTAGTAGAGGTTTTTATTTTTTCTCGCGTCCCACTGGCTCATAATGAAATTTGTGTGTTAAACTGGAATGTGATAGGAAATCGTGATGCTGGAACAGGGGCGTTTGAATTGGATTTCCAGAAACAGGACAATGTTCTGCGCACCTAAACAGTTTTACATACTCTCTGTAGAAGGCTGTGACTTCTTACTTTCCGTTAAAAAAAAAATTATTATAAAGACTGTCAGAGCCCTGTTATGCTCAAATATGTCAACCTTGAATTTGCTAATAGTTTCAAGTAAAGGGAAGGGAGAAATTGTGGCATTTCTCAAATTTCCGAGGGGTAGAAGGGAAGAAAATATTTTTACTAGGACTGGCTGCTCTGAACGTGGAGGGGTATGAGGAGCTTTGTAAGCACAAGGGACAGAAAGTCCCTTCAAGATGCCACAACTCTCAATATATTCAAGTAAACGAGAGGCAGAGGAAAGAAGATGATTGGAACTCTGTATTTTTTTTTCATGCAGGAAAATTTTAATGCAATAAGAAAAGGAGTTG